AAAAAAATAAATGTTTTCTTTTATTTGAAAATATTTAAAAAAAGACCTGGGGCCCAAAAATTTATTTTTTTTTTTTTTTTTTTTTTTTTTTTTTACAAAAAAAAAATCTCACTCTAAGACTAATACATGTCTAGACCACTGTCATCTGTCCAAGTGACATTTATTTCAGAAGGCTTTATTAAGATGCCTTTGCCATTTATTCAGAGTACATGTTCTATTTTAGAGAATATTGTTATTCTTCTGGCAAACCTTGCAAACAAGCTGTGTTGGTGATTTCTAAGTGTGCAGCCAAAGCTGTCGTCTCCCAACATGTATCATTTAGCTTTTTTGCAGTTTTACTGAGCTTTGCACAGTGGGAAGTTAGGGTAATTTTCCTATTATTTCCTATTATGTACACCTCTGGGAATACTGGTTGCAGTCTATGTTTAATCTGGAGTGTAGTCAATGTAACTTGGGAAAAGATGCCATTACCAAACGGCTGGGTAATGGCCTCCATAAGCATGGGTAGGAATTTATTAGCACCATGCTTTCTGCTTACTCTTATACCCCCCCATGACTGCAAATAGATGGAGTATACCAGACTTGGATGTTTATTTTACATCTGCTGAGATTTAGTCATGTGAGCTGTTCACAATAGAAGCTCTGTAAGATATGATTTAAAAGATCTCCAGAGCTATAAAGTTTCCAAAGACAGAAGTGACCACACAATCAGCTGGTACTATTGATGGTACTGGTAGCAAAAAGCCTCAAAGTACATAATACAAAATATTGACCCACAATCAATGCCAAGGTTCCACTTTTGTGATACACATCATTTCTTCACTCTGTAAATGTTTTTTGTTAGTCTCGTAACTGGGAGGTTATGGAAGAAGCTTGCTCTGTTCCTGGTTCCTCTCTGGACCTCAGTATCCCTGGGATCTGTGAGGGTTACCTGATGAAGAGAAGAAAGTACCCACTGAAAGGCTGGCACAAGGTAATCGCTCGACTGGTTGCAATGTGTGTATGTAGCTCCGTTTAGTGTCATCTAAGAATATATTGCAATTAAGAAAGCTGAGCCAAATGCATTCAAAAGGGAACTTATTGTAATTTAGGGAAAATAGTAAAAATAAACAGGCTTTCTCAGATTACAGTAGATATCTAAAGTGTGTATCACAAGTATATTTTGTTTTTCGGGGCTAAAAGTGCAGTAACCTGGTTGCATATTTATGCACAGTCATAAAGTAATACTTTGTTCAGTTTCTGCCATTTAGTGCATTTGTGTTCAGTTACCAAAAATGCTACATCTGACTAACCTAAAGTCAAGTTTGACACAATTTTTCTGACATTCATGCATTTGCATCCTTTATGATGTAGCAGAGAAGTTAGAGGATTAGGTCAGACAGATGCTTTATTTCTTCTGCGGGAAAAAATAAAAATGTTCTGCAGCTTCTTGGAAACTTAGTTTGTAACTTTTGTACTGCTCCAGAACCAAGGTATGAAAATTGCTTTCTAAAAATGTTATTGGTAATTTTATGACTCTAATACAGCTTTGTTTAAATTAGGTCAAAATTTGTATATGCACATTTTGTATTTTATGGTAAAATACTTTATCTGACTAGATTCACAAAACTCAAAGAAAATCATGTTGCACTGACACACAAAAACATGCAAGAGGCTGAGCTGCACATTTTTTATTTTTTTTTAGAACATTAAATTTGCTAATCTCAATATTGTTCAGTCATTTTCTGTTGATTCTTTTCTCTCTTTCAGAGATACTTCCTGCTGGAGCGGGGAGTTCTCAAATACTCAAAAACTCAACAAGATGTGAGTCAAAGCTCCTTGCACCACACTGAATCACATTATTGTTTGATTTTCAATATACTGTAGTCTAGTGGAAAAGATGAGCAAATTTGTTGTTTTTGTTTAAGATTCAAAAAGGAAAGCTCCATGGTTCTCTTGACATCAGCATGGCTGTTATGTCTGTGAATAAGAAGTCCAAACGAATAGACCTTGATGCTGGAGACAATCTTTATCATCTTAAGGTACCGACACATTTATAACAGATATCTAAACTACTAACAACATGCCCCTTTTAAAATGTTTCACAAAAATCTAAATGATTAGCGCAGTTTTAAGCTAATCTGGCATTGTCACTTGCCTCAGGTTCTCTATATTTCTCTCCTTTTCCATGTTAGACAAAGAGCAGTGATATCTTCTACATCTGGCTGACGAAGCTGGGTGCCCATCGTCTTTTTAGAAAAAATGAAGCAATGAGTGTCCATCGTGGAGTTCTTCATGCTCTCTCCTTGAGCCAGAGTACCCTGCCAGTTGTGGGCACCATGACCCAACAAAGCCTATCAACTGTGAGTATAAATTATTGCAAAAGGTGATTGTCCCAAAAATAATTTACCTTGGGTCATATATTTAAATCAGTTGCTAAAACTGCATAGGTATTTTAAATTAAACCAGGAGTCAACCCTATATTTATAATCCAATTAGGTTTTATTCAGTTTCACTGAATAAAGCCCATCTGGGTTTCGGTGGTGAATAATTTCTTAAAGGATTCTTGTGTCTAATCGTAGTGTTCTTTTTATAAACCTATTGCATTTTGTATTCGGCTTTTCTTGATGGATTTTTATTATAATTCTTTGGTCTGGAAATAAATGTACATTGGAAAAAAGTTTTTGTTTGCAATTTTTTTTAGTTTAGTGGTCACAACAATTGTTTGTTTTTCAATACATTTTTTATTCTCTCTATTTTGAGTTTAAAATTTCTATAAGGTCTTAAATATTTTAAAACATGATAAAGATTTTCTTCTTGGTGTTTAATGTCATTTTGTTGTCTAGCCTCATCACTACCCCAGCTCCGCATCAGTGGAAGGTCCTGAGATCATAAGCACTGCTCCTCCTGCCTCGTATCCAGGGGTAACCAACAAAGTGTCTGCTTGGCTGCAGCAGACCCACAACATTGATGCAACTTCCAATGGTAAAAAGCTGTGCGCTTTACACCTTCATTAAGATGAATTGCCAGCAGTGAATTTACCATGGCTTTATTCTGTACTGGTTACTTTAATCTTTTACCTTTCATACTTCACTCGCTGTAACCAGACCTGGCTCGGAGTCAAGCAGAGCTGACAGAACTGGTTCAACTCATACAGCGACTACACTGGCTTGAAGGAAGTGTCCCTATCACAAATACTGACCTTGAGATGCGCATCAGTATGCAGGCAAGTACCCTGATCCCAACTTGTTAAATTTCTTGTAGTGGTGGTTTTTTTGTTGTCGTTGTTTTTTTCTTTTAACTGGAAAAAGGCTATGTACCAAACCAATACATCGTGAAAAATTAGACTATTGCATAAAAGTACAATATTTCTTGCCAGTAATCTCTGAAAATGAAAGCCATTTTATAGAGATTCATGACACAGAATACAATATTTCAAACTTATTTTTTGCAAATTTTGGTGTATAGGTGAAGATAACTTAAAATGTAATGTCTCAGAAAATGAAAATACCACATTAGATGGAAGCACAAACATCAGGCTTCTGAAAAGTTCTGAACATTTCTATTCACCTAATACTCAGTGGGCCTCCTCTTGCACAAATTACTGCATCAAAGCACTGTGGCATGGAGGCCAGCAGCCTGTGGTTGTGTGCATCTAATGGAGGCCCAGATTTCTGCCTTGCTGGGTGTGGTATCTCTTAACAACCCCAGGGTTATGTATGTGTGTGCATCCCAATATCTACATACATGCAATATTGTATTGGAGAGCAGAGACTGAGATGAGCCTTTTAATTGTACAGAAACCATATCGGTTGCAACTGATACTCAAAACCTGAATAGAAAAGGTTCTTATGCTATGAGAGTTATACATCTGTTTAAAATCATTTCCTTTATTGGTAAAGCTTTTGGCAAAATTTAACGGATGATGCAAAAATATTTTTCAAGATTGCTTGTCTTTTACTTCAATACTTGGGTACTACAATTTAAAATGGACAATAAAATCTGTTTATTTCACACTACACAAGTCTGTGTATGGTTTTGTGCAATGTGAAGTTAACTGAATCATTCTTCAAATTAACTTTTGGGTGAATTTCCTGAAATTTACTTAAATTTTTTCTGTAGATTCAATATTTTTGAGTAAAAGAAATGATTTGTAGTTTTTGTTTGTTTCAAGAATCTCTTTCTAGAGAAACCCAAGAAGAAGTCTGGGAAGGTGGGTCACTCAAGAACTTTATCCCGTGTTGAAGCCATGGGTGGAATGGTAAGACTTTAGACATGCATGCTATCTGCAAGGAGGAATCATGCTACAGGAGACCTTTTCAGAACCAATATATTCATTTTATTTTTTCTCCCATTTTAATAGATTCATTCTTTTTCCCTTCCCCCCTCCACACTTTTTTTTCCGAGAGCAAGATTTTGTTTTTGCAAGTTTTTTTTTAACTTCTATTTAGGTTTCTACTGCTTCTAAAAACAGTTCATGTTCTTAAGGAAAATAAAAGAAATGCCCAACAATTTTCTGGGAAGAAGTTCATGTTTTTAGAAAGCCATCAACTTTCAGAGCCATTTTTAGAAATGGCTCTGTAAAATGAGCCTTTTCTAAAACCTCCCAATAATTAAGCTATTTGGGTGGTGCTGTTCTGTTAGCTATAGCAACCACAGCTGAGCCCAACTCCTCACTGAGCAACCCAAGAGGAGCTCAGGCAGTTTTAGTCAGTTGGTTTTACTTCTCTATGTGCTGCACAATGGCTGCTGGAAAGACAAGTGTTTTGTTGGCTTACCATCCAGAAGCCACCTGCTTAATGGTTGTGCAGGAGGCTCCACTACTTCTGCTTCTGCGTTTCTCGAATGTATGATTGTAAAAATGCACATCTGTCTGCAGCCATTTTCATGTGTATAAAGTGAAAGTGTGAAGGTTGAGTTGGGGGTGTGGCCAGCAGCAACACATTTGGAGTTGGTGACAAGAGGCAGTACATGATGTAATCTTCATTCCTGTCTTTTTCATTACTCGTGGCTACTTCTGCACTCTGCTCTTTCTGTTGATCACAATGCATCTGTAAACATTGTAGTTCATGGAGACTCTTGTGGCTTAGTTTCCCACAACTTCATTGTCTGACTCATCAGCTTTATTGCTCTGTTGTTGCCACAGTTCTGCATGTTTCTCTTGTTCTTCAGAATCTGCACCAGAACCCTTTTCCTCCACTCCTAAGGCATCTTCTCACTTAATATCTTGTTGAACAACCTAATCAAATGGTTACATTATCAAGACCAACTGTCTTAACTGTCTTGTCTCTCTTCAAAAAGAAGAGCCAAAAACTGTACACATTAGAGATGCTTTACAGGCTTTTAAAATCAGTGGTGTTTCTTTGTAATGGTCTAATTGGTTAGTATTTCTCTTTTTAGTGCAATTGTGCTGGAATCTAAAGTACAAAAAAAACACAACTTGGTGTCACATAATCTTCTAAAATACAAATTGGATGAAGAGAATTGAAGCTCTGCAAAATATGCTTTGCCTGTGGAAATTCACAAATATCTTCAAAACTAACTAATACTGAAACATTTAGAATAAATGGTGATGTTTATATACATTGAATACAATCTTATTCTGCCTCTTTTTTTGTTTTTCCTAGTTCACATCAAGCCATCTGAGTACAAACAGTTCCAACATGGCTGCATCAGTCCAGTCCATACCCGACTATGTTTACTCACAGCTGTCAAACCCTCAGGTAACCTCACCGGAGGCAAAGAAACTCCATCAAGACATTTGCATGCTTTCTCAGAGGGGTAAGAGCTTCTACCTAACTTGTGTCACATAATATATCTTTTTTTTTTAATGTTCACTGTAACATTTACATTTGTTGCACATTCTACAGAAGTTTGACTGGAGAATATGATTTATTCAAATAGATCAACACATATATGCATATTGTTTTCATATTAATACTTAACTGAAAAAGGCTAGTGTGATTAAAATCTTGTGAATGTTTTGTTGTAGTCTATGGTTCTCTGAAGTCCATTCATGAGGTTTTGACCCTGGAAAGGGAGAGAATGAGACAGGCTTGGACTAGCCCTGATCTGAGGCAGAACACTTCTCAGCAGCTGGCGACGATGAGCTCCACATTGTCTGAGGTAACGGGGCCACACAAACGCAGAGCAGATATATGCTGTAAAACTGTCAAACATGGAAACGAGAAGAAAAAAAAATATTTATAGACAAGGAGGACTTGGCTTCCTTGGTGTCTTTGGGGTCGATATTATTAATGCATAGCTATTGTAGACAGTACAACTTTTGTCCATCTTTAAATGTATATAGTTTCAGTTGTACTGCTTGTGATAGCCACACAGTATCGACCCTAAATACACAAAGGAAGCCAAGCCCTCCTCGTCTTTGGGAGGTTCTGTGTGAAACTGTTGAACAGGTTTGTGCTGTTTCTAGGCAGAAACACACCTCTCCCTTTGTTCAAGGAAAGGGAAGAGAAAAATTAACAGAAATGACTGTGACACATTGAAATGGACTGCCCTCATTTTTCATGTACATGCTGCTGCATGTTGGAACCTTCCATTCTTTGTTGCTGTGACTATGGGCTTTTACTATTTACCCCATCTGTGTATATGCAGTCAGGGAAAAGCGTATAATTTTAGTTCTGATTTGACATGTCGGGGCACAAAAAAAAATCTAGCTTTTATTGGGTTTTAAAATCAAAATCGGGTACATACAATGTACCCAAGTTGAATACAAAGAAGTATAACTGATTTGGTTTTGTACAGTTTACATTCTACACCGTCTCCCTCTCCCAGTCCTGTTTTGTAAAATGTGTGATTTAGCAGGGTGTGCTCTTCTCTTCCAGGACTTTTTTTTTTTTTTTTTTGGTATAACTGACTTCCAAATTAACACCCACTGCTGAGACTCTTTTGACATCTATTTAGTTATCGTTTCTTCTGTTTCCTTGACATTTTTCTGCCTGTGTGGATGCTATGCCTCCATGACTTTGTGTGTATATGCATGTGCAGCTTGACAGCTTGACCAAAGTCAGATGAGCCGGTTCAGAAGGAATCTTCAGTGGAACCAGTCTGGTTCCACTGAAGATTCCTTCTGCACTGTCTGTACAAATCAGGTTTGTACTGTATTTGGTTAATCTTCAATTTTGAATTTGCTTCTACTCTTTTCATCTCAAAAATCTTTGCTGTGAAAGTAAGAGGTATACTTCTTTCTGAGAAGATATTGCTGCATACACACAGCTAAATTTACATCTATGTGACAATTTAATAGAGCTCCACCCGCCAAACATCTCTGCTTGGCGACTGGAGCAGAGATGCATGTAGATGGACGAAGCACAGCAGTATTCCTAAAAACTATTTCTCAAACGCAGGAAAGCAACATGAAACCTTTCAGTGAAATTTGTTAGCGAGACTCTTTGTGCTCCTTATGCACAAACAAAACTGATGGGAATGATGAAAGATTTGGAGGAAATTGGATTTTTTTTCA